CGCTCTTCCTCGGGAGCAGGGATGCCTCGGCCTTCCATGCACAGCTCTGTCTCTCCATTCTTGTCGATGAAAGTCAAGGTGATGGTGGCAAAGTGCCCTGGTAAAAGCAGAGGGGAGGGGGTTTCAGAGCCAGGGTTCTCACCTGAGTTTAAAACTAGGGAGAAAAAGGAAAGTTCTGGAAGTAACAGCAATGAACAAGTATGTTTACTTACCCTCCGGCCAAGACTTAAACCTCCACTTCATCGCAATATGTTTCTCAGGGACCTGAAAGAATCGAAGAGCTCAGTCTATACCAGAGACCACCACGTCCCCAAGCCAGACGAGCCATCTGCCCTTCATGCAGGCGTCTGTTGTCTGCGCCAATTATATTACTTGCAGGAGAATCCAAATTGCTGCATTTTTGAAAAGCAAAACTAATTTTATGAAACAAAGAGATGAAACCCTTAAACTTTACCTACAGAACTGAGAAAAAGAAGAATGTCACGCATCTGACCAGACAGAGGCTTCAAGCTGGGTCTGGGGCCAGCAGGTACTCACCAGATCAGTAAATTCCCCTGAGACGTTGCCATCTACCATGTGAAACTTCCCACCTTTGTCTGCCTCCAACACTGCCGGAGCATGGGTAAAGGCCTGCACCAGCTGTAGAGAAAACCAAGGCAGGGAGATGATGGAGGGCTCTGGGCGGGACCCAGGGACGGGTGCCAAGCGAAGCCTGCATGGCTCTGCGCTCATTTCCAAAGATGCCTCTCTGCCCTGTGAGCAGGCAGGGGCTCTTTCCATCCTGCCCCTAAAGGCCAGGTTCTGACTTCAGCCACTTTTTGAACCCATGACCCCACTACTTTAGACCCCACTCATTTTTCTCACAAGGATGATTCAATGGTCCCCAACTATGTGACCCCAAGCTAGTAGAGAGACAGAAAAACAGAAAGGGAGAGAAAACCCACTTTGGTAAGTGGGCTGAACAAAGGTGTCTTTCCTTTGTCAAAGTCTCACAGTTCTCATTATCAACAGTTCCTTTCCCACTGAAGGGATATGTCCACAACACAAGTCACTGCAAAAAGCAGATGGCATGAGGCCCAAAGGACACCAGCACCCTTACCTCTTGGGTGGTAAACACTCTGTAGAGCTCCTCTGCTGATGTGAGGAAGGTTTCTCTAAGGGTGATCTTACACGTGGGGATTTTGACACCAACAGGCTTGGCCTGGGTTTTTGAAGGAGGCGGCTTAGTCTGTGAAAGTGCAGTAAAAACAGCAGTTAGTAATGGTAAAACCTCAACTGAACTAGCTTCACAGATTTTTCACCTCCAAGGCTAATCATCCTAGGTCAAAGGGAATCTGTGTGCAGGTGTCTCAGTCGCCAGGGGAACTTGGCTGAGGCACCCTTCAATTCCAACTGAAAGCCACCCCTCTAGGAGGCAGACTCTGACACTAGCTGAAAAGGACAAATCACATCACAAGGCATTTCTGGAGAGCCTAGTCCAATTTTCAACAGAGTCTCTGTTTGACTAGCCAGGACCTGGTCCCCCAGCTTCTAGGATATCCTTAATGGCTGAGAAAAGGGCAACAGGCTCCAAACCACACACTGAGCCTGAACTACACAAGTTCCATCTCTGGACAAAACATCTGCTTACACTGCAAATGTGGCAAGACTGATCCATTTCCTTCAGGGTCTAACCCTTGCTAATTTTAATGGGACTTCAAGTATCAAAGTATGAAACATTAATACCCTAATTAGAAATGATGTCAAGGGTGGGTAGGTGAAGACCCTCCTGAGTTCATAACCGCCTAACGTGTTCAATGTGATGATGAGGCAGACTTTTAAGCTGTTGATGGCCTTTATTTGCACTGGGGACAAATGAATGAAAATCAGGCTAAAGACGGACGTACGCTGTGAACCCTGTAAAAGTACCAGATCGTGTGCTGCTCTGGCTTAGGTTAGGGTCAGGGACAAACAGCTGAGACACGGAACTAAGAAGAAGCAATCTATGGGCCAGCTGGTGGCATGGTGGTTAAGGTGGCTGGAACCCACATGGTTGACTGCATGACTCCAATCTTGGACCTGGTGGTTTGAAGAAACACACCAGAAGAGTGTGAATACATGCCCCAAATCCTGAGAGAATGAAGAAGGGACTGCCATGTGGCCATTCACCCAGCAAGCGCCTTCTTAAAAAAGAAAAAAAAAAAAAAAAAAAAAAAAAAAAAAAAAAAAAAAGGGAGCAGTCTCTTTACTGTCCTCTGCGGTCAGCCTCCCATAACTCCCCAAGGAGACCCACTGACCTTGCGCTCCTCAGCTTTCAGTGCCGGCTGCCCTGCAGGGTCCACTGATTCTCCATTCACTGTAGGCAAGATCATGCCCTGGGTGAACTCTGGAAAGAGAAAGCCGCAGGTCTCGGAAGTTACTTCTTAGTAGCTGAGTTCTAGGGCTTCATCACAGGTCGACAAACACAACCATCTCAACCCAGAATGAGGTAATGACCAGAAAAGGAAGAGTCTGTTCTTCGTTTTTACCTTTGGTCTATGCCAGGTAGGTATCTGAGTATGTGCCCTACAACACAGTACGTTAACTGGGGTTACCTTAAAAAGCTGAAAGCCCCGACTCAAATGGAAGCATTACAATGTGTGAAATGTGCCTAAGGTCTACTACGGAGGGCAGCCAGTGAGTGGAGTGACTGCAAGAGTGAGTGACGGGCCCAGCTCCTACGGATGCGTGTCGAGCCCCCTGTGCCTTACCTTGTAACACAGCCTCAACTAGGTACCGGTTACTACAGCACCGATTTCCCCCCTAAGAAAGTATCTCCTGCTTTACTGGTTTCCCTTGATGGTCATTATACATACTCAAAAATCAAGGTCAGGACAAACGGGCAGAAATGGAATCCCAGGGGAGATCTGAGCTGACCTCTATTCTCATCTTCTGAATATCCCTGAAAATGCCTATCAAATACAGTCCAGGACTGTGCTGGAGCAGCGAGACAGGGATGCAAAGTCTTTAGATCAGTGCTGTCCGATACAATACATATGTGAGGTGTAAATGTAATTTAAAAATTCCTAGCAGTCAGGTTAAAAAGTTAAATGAAAAAGGTCAAATTTGGACACACACACATATATACACACACCAAATTTATATTTAACCAAGTCAAGTCCAAACTATCATTTCAACATGCTATCTATATTCAAAAATCACGGAGATACGTTTAGGTTTTTTCTTTTATACCGAGTCTTCAAAGTCATTGCTTTCGGTACCGAGCACATCTCGACTTGGGCCAGCCACTCTCCCAGTGCTCGACAGCCCAATCTTAGACAGCACAGCTCTAGACCGTTCCCTTTCAGAACTCCGAGACTGACTCTGACATGAAGCGACCCCCTCCCACCAAATCTTCACCCATCTGCCAAAGAAAGGACCGCCACGCCTCTCGTCAGTGCCTGACAGGTGGAAAACTACCTCCTCAAGGCATACGTTAACTACTCAAGGGATACCTGTTTTGAGGGTGCTGATGTAAATTCCCATTGCTTCTCTTAGAAGTTTCACCCCTTCTTCCTTCATTAAGGCCACGAGATTTGTGTCAGGCTCATCTTTGGCAAGGCTCACACTAATCTGAGTGAAAGATCAGAAGTAGGTGGTAAATAACTCGAGGGGCACCACATTACGGAATGTGGGTGCTGAGCAATCAAGTAACTGCTGACATTTCCAAAGGAAATGCACAAGGGCTGGGGTATTAGTACAATCCCCGTCAGGGCTCCCTCTCTCCTCTCTGCCAAAGCAAGGTGGCTGTTGTTAGAACCCATGTCACTACTAATAGCTAAAGCCAAGAAATTTAGTAAGTACAACGGCTCTAGAAGTTTCCGATGATACCATATACCTAGAGAATCACTGCAGACTGAGATTCTGCAGGCTTGGCCCAAGCCTGGGCTGTTCATCTTCAATGGCAGGTCATTTTTGTCATCTGAGAATAAGAGGACATGGAGGACTCAGATAGGAGTTAGAAAGCACACACCTCTACTTCATCCACGCTGTTTTCGTCTGACAAATTGGGGATCTCCACATGGCCCTTGTACTGTACTCCTGACTTAGAGGTACCTGTGAAGAACAATGCAATGTCATGAGTCTCGTCTGTGTGGCAAAGGTCTCCCCTAGAGAGTTCTATCACCTCACACAGGCATCCTTTGGGCATCAGAAGTGACTCTTGTTATTCTGAGGATGCAACATGCCCAATACCATCACCCTTCCTCCCTTGCTGAAGAAATGCCTATCCTCACCCGATCGATCACCAGAAACCAACTATGGTATTACAGCACGGGACTGAGAGCTACAGATTTGGTACCAGCATGAAATCTACCAGGGAGGGCTGAGATCAACAGTCAACACAGTTCTGCTGGAATGCTTGTCTAAAAACAGCACTGTATCCCAAAAGCGGCTGATCTATTAGGGAACAATGTGATCATGAGAACTTCACCTCTGCTTCTGTATGATTTCATCTACGTGCAGGTAAACACAGGAAGCCACACTCAGCTGAACTGAGCTGCACAGGAGGACCCAAAATACATCTCAAATGTGTCCTGCCAACCACCTCAGCTTACTGGGTGTGATGAGCCACAACACCCCTCCATACCTGGTGCTGTAATGTTCCCTCTGATTTCAGATGACTCTATCACTTTTTTTTTTTTTTTTTTTTTTTTGGG